TCCACGCCGCCTAGCACCGGCTTAAGCCAAATTCAACATTTATCATGGACTGGTACAATTTTGAAAACTTCCGGAGATGTGTTCATATGGCGTTTATCGTGAAACCTTCAATGTCACACGTAAGTGCCATTCCATGAAAAGTGGCATATGGTCCCCAAGTAAAAAATGCGTGTGCCCTAAACGAGAAAACAATGGGTGGAACTAAATAAAATGGAATTTTTAAAGGAGATCAGGTTATGAAGCTTGCAAATCACAAATAAGACGTCAAAAGACAAATTTAAAAAGCAGGTAACATATCCTAAGGGTGATTCAACAGTATTCAAGTGAGGAATACTGGTACCACGAATAAAAAATAGCCAAATAGAAAGAACTAAATTACTAAAATGACAACAATAATGTCGTGCTGAACGATCTTTAAGGATCAGAAACATAACATCTCTGATTGAAAGTACGGGGCGACTTTTTACAGCCTTCACACGGCACAGACAACGCTGATGTGGCAATAAAATAGAGTAAACAAGAATCCCTAAAGAAAGCGCAACAATGCAAACTACCGTCAACGCCCCATAAACATCAACAGATGTGTTCAAATGGCGGTTATAATGGAACCTTAAATCTGACACATTAGTGTCATTCCATGAAAAGTGGCATATTGTCACAAAGTAAAATCAAAGGGCTGCATGCTCTGTGGTATTTTCTGATCTTTCCTGTATAAGTTTATTTTTATTTACTATTAATCATCTTACGCAGCGACTGCGTTTAACAGTTTGTGATTGATACATATGGAATTTTGCATGCTTAGAGTTGCATCAAAAATCATTTTTCATTTTTTATTACAGCCACACTTTATTCTTGCATATCGTGGCAACTTCCTTACAAAAGACACTAAAAAAATGTTGCCTCGACAAGGATTTTAACCTTAGGCCTCTCACACCCTAAACGAGCGCGCTACCTCTGCACCACAGTGAAGTAATACGTATGTAGCGTGAAAAATAACAAATATATTGTAATTCTAAAATTGAGAATTTTCATTTCGTATTTGTAATCCTTATTAATTTCGAGGTATTTTGTTCACGATAAACCTGTTGTTAAACACTGATGAAAATAATTTAACGAAAATCTTGTCGCCAAAACAGTCCGACATGTATATATTCCATTACTCGACAGTCAGATTTATTTGTGTACTACGCTCTGGAGTATTCGGTAATCGACATAGCTAAAAATAGCATTTTCATTTATTAAGTTTTACGGAAATAGTCGAACATTTTTCATTGGGTAAAAAAAATATTCATGCGCGAAATTTGTGATTGTAACCTCATATTTCTATTGACTAATGTAAACTTTTAATGCACTGTAATTCGTTCAATGCCTACATTAAAAATTATTCTTTCTTTTTAATTGCTGGTTTTTAAGCAGTTTTGAGTGACAACTGCTTTGCGTTGTTAGGTCTGTGGGGAAATTTTGTGTTAGACCGTGGATGTTAGCTTTGCATTTACTGATCTTGCGATCAGAAAATACAAAAATGCGTGTGCCCTAAACGAGGAAACAATAGGCCATTGAATTAACAAGAGCACAGTTCAACCACCGCATCATTATTGTAACGGTAAACTATACCTTAAATTAAATTTTAGATCTAGTCCATAATCTAATTTATCTATGTTTATTGTTGAATGAAATGACATTTTGTTTGTTAAACCGTTATTTGATATAATAATACATCAATACATTTATATTTATGTAACTGTGACATATGATTACCGCCGTATTAACACATCCGCAGATGTTCCTTAATTCAAAATTTCACCATTTTTGTGTTTTAATGTTGAATTCTGCTTAAGCCGGTGCTGGGGGAGGGGGCGTCGACGTTAACTTGCACTTTCCAATACCGTCCATGAACAGGCTCAACCAAACCAAACCTGCAACATTTTACAATCTTCACCATTAACCCCCCCCCCCTCCACACACACACACGTGCATGGAAGCCAGAATGGACGTGCTTAAAGAATGTTAACACAACGCCTGAGTTCCAGCTATCATATCGCGCATTTCCAATTAGAAACATGGCGAATATAAACAATAACCCATAAGTGTGTATCAATAGCTTTTTATCTCAAATAAAATAGATAATATAAATATAAATATGCCCTTACAGCAGTGTAGATATGAATGATAGAGCTTGTACGCAAGTCACTGAGTAATACAGATTTATAATTATGTAGACAGAAATGTCATTTCTTTAATATTCTTTGTATTTTTGTTGATTCTTATTAGGACTACGAGTTAGAAGTTAAAAAGATGAAACAGTCATATCATACGTGAAAAACGTGTTTAAATTTTCCATAAACATTGCATTATATTTAAAAAGTACTGTAAATTACCTGTTTTGTTCCGTTTTCGGATAACTCCTAATTTACTCCGTTTTCGATAAGTACACGACATGACATTGTTCCTTCAACAACGTGGTAATCCTCATTATAATTAAAAAGTTATTATGTCCAGGTCATCTCATGGTAAAAGTCTATTTTGCCTTAACCCTCCACCCCTGTAAGATAAGTCGCGTGTTTTAAATGGTGCTTAAATATTATGAATGATTTGCGTTCTTAGGATGACATGATTTTGCTGTTATGAGTGAAATTGTAAATGCATACCCTACTATTGGAAAAAAAGCTAAATGAGAATTTTACTGAGTCCTTCCAAGTCAGTTGGCAAAATGATGTCAATAATAATTTTTGATTCAGTTGGAACTATATTCAGTCTTATGGTATAACAGAGGCAACGTCTGTACTGACTGCAAGTTTAAATTACGGACAATTTTGTTAACAATACTTTATATATAGTACATGTAATAGTTACCTTACGAGAAATAGTCTGTATTGTTTTGTCAAACCAGTGTTGCCATTTGAAAAAAAATGTATGTGCATACTTTTAATCATTGTTTTTTTAAACAGTACTTTCTATGTAAATGTCAATAGATTTAAAAGTCATATAGAACTTTTTTAACAAATGATTAAAACATTTATCAAGCTGAATCTTCTGCAACTTTCAATACCATTGGTCAAAAGTAATTTACCGCAAATCAGATTTTAAGTATAGAGATTATTTTGTACTTAATCGTAAATCGTAAACTGGTTGTTATGCACCTTGGTGCACAGTAATTGACTACTGAAATAATATGAATAATTTAATCAGTCCATAGGTACATGTTTTATGATAACATTTAATTAAATGTTACTTTGATCAATATATTTGGGGCATTATGTACATGAACAAATACGGTTTGATAATTGTTGAATAAATATTATCACTTCACTGGTTTCATAATGATATAAAGAGGAAGTTTTGTATTGTTTAACTATGTCATATTTAAATCTTAAATTTCTCCTTTTCTTTATTGTATTCACAGCAAATGAAGGTAAGTTATAACACTGATTTGTTTCAAATATTTTCTTTTATTAATTTCCGTTTTATTCTACGCAAAAATTGATTAGAAAATGTTCATTCCTTGAAAGTGAAATGATCCCTAATAGAAAGTCTGCAGTATCATAAAGCATTATTATGTAAGTATTTGTTTCATTCATGACAATAAAACCATGAAGAAAAACTGTGGATGTTGTTAGTGTGAGATACCTTATACAATAAAACAATTTATATAATCGAAATATTATTATCTAGCTTTTTAATGTTTATACTTAATAACATGAAACTCTATCAACATTGCTTTATTTCCTTTCTTTTCACACTGTTTCAAGAATATTTCAGAGTATCCAATTGATATATTTCCATTGTTTTGTCAATAATTTACTTACTCCATCGTAGACCAATCTATTTTAACATTAGTACATTTCAACGTTACACTCGTATAATACTATTTTCAAGCTCTGTAGTATGATATAAGTCACATATAAAGTTTGCAGCGAATTATTACATTGTTATATTGGAAATAATGTTATTCAAAATGTCGTATATTCAAAACTTTTGTTTTTCAGATGCATTCATGACACAAACTGGTTCCGACGATACAGGTAAATTGTTAAGATGATTCTACAAAACATTTCGGAGTTCTGTCCAGTTGGTCTCTCTTGTACACATGTATGTAATGCGGTAATTGTAATGTGGGCATTTTATGTATGCATTGCGGAAATTATAATTTGACATATTAGTTCAATCGGTATGCATGTATTTAAACTATCAAAAATGTTCCACAATACAACTTCTTTAATCTTATATGCTTACTTAACATTCTGAATTTGTTTAATTCAATAATTGTAATGAGACAAATATGTAATGCATTACACAACATTATTTCACATGACTATCAATCAAAAAAGGTTAATTATTTCAAAAAACATTAAACCGTCATTAATGATATATGATCACTTTTAGCAGCTCTCCAGGTAGAATTATAGACCTTCAGTAAGCAAGTCTAATAGATTTCAAAAGCCCAGTGCTAAGAATGTATATATATAATATAATATCAGGATTTTTTTTGTTCACTTTTTCAAGTCAGGTCCTAAAATTTATGTTATGCAGTTACTGTATAATTTGGAAGATTTAGAATCAAAGTATGAATGTGAATGTTTCAGAAAGTATTTAAAGTTTATGTAAGTCATGCATTAAACATGATATGATCCTGATGAATACGTGTAATTGTTTTGGGTAGTTTTGAAAATGGAACAAAACATTAAGGAATTTAAATGTCAAAATACAAAACAAAAATGACAGGCCAACAATAAAGGATCTGGTCAGACTGCGCGGATAAACATGTTGATCTAGCTATAATGCTGGTGACAAAAGGCGCAGCTGGCACTGTCGGTTCTAGCAGGGTGGACGAAATCTGATCTTCTTAAACCCATTTAGACATTAAATGTACACAAAAGTACCATAAAAAGTGCTAGTCAAGAAAATGGACCCATCGCTATATATAACATAAGTTATATCATTACACCTGTATATAACATAATACATACATTATATTTGATTTGAAGAGATAATTCAATCATTTCAGGATACGGCGATTTTGACCTACCATTTATTATTTTGGTTGGCATGGGCGTATTAGTGTTTGGTTTTCTGTTTGGTGTTTGCTGTGCTTGTGCGCTTTTACGCAGAAAAGAAAGTGTAAAAGGTAGCATTATGTTTGTTTATGATTGTTTTAAATCACTAATCTTGCTAAAATTTTGTGTTGACATTTTAATGCTTTGTGTAGGTCAATATATAAGAAACGATAAATTGTCATTCTATTGACAATTGAGATTTCTATTAATATTTGAATTGTTTATTGGACGCAAATACAACACAAAACATAAGGAATGTAGTACACAAAATTATCTTCAATTCAATACCATTAGAAGAACCACTGAAACTATAATGTTGGAAATTTGGCGCATCTATTCAAGATATTGAAATAACCGTTTACTTATGTTGCAATAGTTAAGATACCACTTAAACATTTTATCCATCGAAAATTACTTAAAATTACCTGCATTTCATTACTTGAAATAAAAAGCTATAAATACTTTGTCTACAAACCCAATGATATACTATTCTCAAATTTGATATCTCAACATATTGGTAATTTCTACACAGTTAGCACTATATATTATTGTATAATAAACAAATAAGTACCCACTAGGTACTATGTACATGAGTATATCTTCACGATAGCATTGTCTGAAATTGATTCAATTTGCTATTAGGCAGAATACGTCCGATGAAGCAAGGTCAACAAAAGCCAACACAGTCTGGGGAGACTGGCTTCATTGTTTTAAGTCCTATAGAGTAAGTTATTTTATGGTCTTACACAATGTATTTATAGTGGCATATTTCTGCCAACAAATAAGAACTAAATTGATAACAACATTAATAAGCTGAAACGTAAGTTAGTGTTGGTGTTTAGACTTACCTATCTGGTTAACAAGATATATTTTCTGTAATAAAAGTAATTTAAATATAAATATCTATTTATCAAAAACTGATAACACTTGCTCGACTATTATCTGATATTAGGTGGTTGTCAATGAAAGATAGTTGTTACTTATTATACAAGATAATTTTTGTTTAAATCCATTTGATATTCGTGCTTTTTGGTATTTTATAACTATTTGTATAACTTGTTAAATTTACAGGTACTTAATTATTGTATAATATTTCGGATATTTTCCTTGCACAAACATTATAAGAGCAAATTAACTTAGTTTAGATGTTAATTTCATTCAGAATTCTGAAATATACCTGATTTGATTTAGTAAAACAGTAAAAATCACTTTTATGCATACTAACTCATACGAAGTAAGATAAACATTTTTATCTGATATTTTATCGGGTAACATAAATCTTTTATGTATAACCACCAAATATGTCAGATAAAAGTTTTTCGTATTATCTTGCACAACTAAAAAATTATTTATTTATACAGAAAATTGTGCATCAGATAAACGACTTACTAACATAAATATTTTAAAGATATACAGATTATTTATTTATTAGTTATATTTTTTAACTGGTAAGTGTTAGCACGGTGGTTTACTTGAAACTATAGTGAAAAGTTCAAGATGAATTTTAGAATATTTTATATTTCATTTATTATTCACAAATAACTTACTTAGAAGCAAACAAAAAATCTACGCTTGAGATGTGTAAAGAATGGACTCTAGAATTAGATTTGAAGTGAATATTATCGTTGTATTGTTACGTTAGAACAAGTATCAATCTCAATACTGCAGCCATGTAAATTTTGAATTTTAATAGAACATTTAAAATTATTATTTCAAGGAACAATAACGCACAGATTCAAACGGGAACAAAAACAGAAAACAAACAGGTTAATGCTTCGCAAGACGGTAAGTTATTTCTTACATTGCAAGAATGTTTGATCCAGATCATTTTCCTAATATCTGACATTTTTTGATACGTGTTTTCGACACATCTCAAGCATTTATTTAACACGATGTACGTATGTGTAATGTTTATGTGTTTGTTGCTGTTTAACAAAATAGGTGCAGTAAAGAAATCGAAGACTCGGATAAAACAGACTCAGGAGACTCGATTGAAAGATTCTACACCTACACCGTATGTTATCCTTTATTGTTTTGTTTGTTCACATGAACTTTGTCTTGTATTCATATATTTTGATTTGTTTAAACATTTAACTTATAAGAAAAAGAAACGTCTCTAGCTTTATACCATCTGCAAAAATTACGCATTGATAAATTTTAGAAAAGAATTATACGTACAGACAACCGTTCAGGTCAAACCAAATCCCAATTTCGTTGAATTTGATTTGATCTGTATTGCTTTCATGACAAGATCGTAATTTGAAACTCTTTTTTCCGTATCTGTAAACTCTTTAAGTTTGTAATTTTTAGTCATAGTTACGAAGAATTTCAAAACAGAACAGACGCAGACAACGAAAATATTTACGATTCAATAGAAGGTATGTTATTTCTCTAACCTTTCTCTAACTCGATTTCGCACCCTACTGTTGCTAAGATACATGTATAGAAATAATTGCACAAAAGAAATAATAAGAAAAAAACTATTTTATCAAGTTTTCAACAGTAAAAACTTACGTCTTAGAATGGATTGTATATGGATTAAATTATTGGCGTTAGTGTATGTGAGATATTGTTTCGGTATTGTATGAAAAGAAAACATTATAAGAACTGAAATATAAATAAAAATTCTTTGTTCTTTTATCTTTAAAATGCTTTGTAAACTATATAACCGAGGGAGAAAACATTACATTTTTTTTTTGTCTATAGTATCAAAATCACGAGGGGTGTTGAACTAATGTTTTACACATCATAAGCAGTGGTAAAATATTATAAGTTTAATGTATTTGCTGCTTGACAAAATAGGTTTAGCGAATGAAGATCAGCCTGAACTAGGACAGTCACATGAAGCGTCATCACATGATTCGGCACCTTCACCGTATGGTTCCTTAGTTGTTCATATTCGTGCTTTTTTCTGCTATGAGATGTGCTTTATCTATTTGCATACGTTTTCAATTAAAAAAACTAATTCAACTAAGGCAGAAAATATCAATTATCCAAAAATAAATACTTGACTTCTAGTTTAATTTTTAATTGATTTAGTCCGTTCAAAATTGCCTTATTATGAATTCGAGCAATGTAAATGATATATGACACAATAAAAGTCAAACTTTATTTACGCTTTGTATCATAAGTATATGTGTTATTTCTTTAACAACATCATCTAAATCTGAAAGCTTTCATATTAAATTTGTAATCTTTATCGATTGAAATGTGTTCTAGAAAAAACAACGAACAAGTTCATAACAAAACAGATACAGAGAGTAATGAGACGTATGATTCACTAGAAGGTGATTTTATTTTGTTATTTCTTCAATTGTAATGTTATTGCTTGAAATAACAAGAATTTGAAAGATTAAGTATGATTATACGACTCAATTAAAGAATTCGTTGAACATTACGAAATGATGTATTTCTTGAATGACAAAATAGGCACAAAGACACAAGATCGACATCAATCTAGAGAGTCGGTGGAGACAGATTCGAATGATTCAGCACATTCATCGTAAGTCATCGTTAATTGTTTGCTTCAATTGAATGCGTTAATTATTATTTTAACATCATTGTTTTTTTTTTAATTTTTAGTGAAATTTGAAGTTTGACATATCTTGATCAGAATAATGAGTATCTCAATATGAATTATTAGATTATTTTGAATTTCATTTAATCTGTTCAAGTCACCGTCAGATGAATGTAAATAAGAATGCTTCCACATTGTAATTGTATTATCTGAAAAAAAATTCTAGGCAATCTTCCGAACAATGTCAATATACGATAGAGGCAGAAGATGGGGAGAGTGATGATTATCTTAACGGTACTTTTTTTATAAAATTGCGAGATTTATAATCGAAAATATAATTATATTATTCAAAATTAGAAATTTTCAATTATTCACGCGTAAACATTTAAAAATCTATACAGACTATGTCATTAATCCGTATTTCATACAAGAAGATCATTCAAGATACCGATTGACGATCTAAATTTTGTGTTGATAGTTTTTAATTCTTCGAATGTTTGAGTCAATTGTTTGAATGCACTAATTTTGATTAAAAATACTTACTCATAACTATAGTTTTTAAATAAATGTTTCAGCCGATGTCAATGAAGTACAGAATAGGTAATATAATGTTAAACTCTCATGAAAAAGATGTACTTTAAATCTAAATAGCTTATCAATCTAAAATAGTTCTTAGATACTTTACTTAGCCTGTGATGTTTATAAAATGTTTGTAAAAGTATATGAAAAAAGTTCAAGCTGAATTTATTTAGATTCAGGTAGAGAGATAAGTGTCATTTACGGCATACTTTTGACAGTAATTGCTTTAAATATGATTTATTTGAAGGTTGCCGAAGTAAAAAGGGTACACTAAAGTGTGTTTACATCAGTTTTAAATTATTTAGAATACAAACATTTATCATTTTTCGTAGGAATTATTTTCATTTGATATCTACATGTACCTAGTATATTATTGTACTTTATATAGACTTTATATGTATATTGAGGTTATTTAAACGTTATTTATTTGCCTATTTTCAGCCAATCACACAGTGACACACTTTGAGAGATGATATGTTAACCAAGAGCCGATTCAATTTTAAACATGGTGCTAATTTTAAATTTCAGTTCGAAGTTTTAACCTTGTTACACCGAAGTTACAAATTAAGCTCTCTGCAGACATTTTTTTAAATGTTATAAAATTTGACTCGAGAATAGGGATATTAGAATTTGCAAATTAAGAGCACTATACTTTTAAAAGAGAACTCAACTGAAAAGCATGTTCTAATAAGAATTATTAGTCTAAATCGATAGATAACTTTATTTAATATTAGCATGAGCAGGTGTTTTGAACACATTTTTTACAACAACAAAAATACATTTTTTTTTAAAATGTAAGACTTTAAATACCGATTATGCCCAAGAATATTTTTTTTTACTTTTTCAAAAGCTTTTTCTTTTGATTTCCAGTTTTATCAAAAATACGTATAAGCTGCATACAGTCCTGATATAGTGATATAGTATTTTGTATGAAAGTCAAAATACGACCTTTTTATATATTGCTACTTTGATGAGAAATAATTTCATATATAGCCCCTTTTTCAGGTAGCAGATATTCAATATGTTATTTTACTATTACCTAAATATTGAACAACTCATGTTTGTCTTTTTAAAAGGAAGGGCACACTTTGTTTCCAGATTTTTATTCGTTTCTGAGTCATAATGTTCATAATTTTATTAATTATCAGCGAAGTTGTTTAGGAACTCCTGTTTGTTAAAGATATATGCAAAATGGAAAAGAATTGAGATAACTCCATCAATAGATAATCAATATACCTGTCATATATTTGATGTCGAATCAATAAATTTAAAAGTTAAGCTTATATTCACTTATGAACAGATGATATACTTATTGGATAATTAAATTTGATTTGACAAATTGAATTCTTTGTGACTCTTTTCAGGGTTTGATTTCTTTGAAACAATATAAATAGATAGATTACCTTTTGCAAATTGTCACTTTAATTCTTATTTTATTTTAGGGATGATATTGATAGAAATATTTATTTGCATATTGAAAAATTTACAATGCCTTTTTATGTTTATGATTCAAACATATCTACGTTTACAAACCATTGTACATGTACTACAATATTTGTTCAATAATTGTGATTAAAGTCTGTGAATAGCTAAATTAGTGAAACTGATATTTTAAATCATTAGTATAATAGTTTATTATGATGTAATATAGACATAGTTACCATGAACTTACATGATATTCATATACAACCACGAATCTATGTGTATAGTATGCACACTTTTTTGTTAACTTATGATTTTCAGTGCTCCTTTTGGTTCGTTTATATTATTTAAGTTTCTCTTTCAATTGTCATTTTCTTACATCATACTTTCTTTACATAAATATTGGCTTTTTCCCTTCATGTTCACTGTTTTTTTCCTCCATATACATATGTTCGGAACATTGTAAAGATAATGCTCTCAATGCTAATAATATATTTCTTCGGATGCATGATATTGACAGCGCGGTTTTTGTTGTTCCGAACATCAATTTTATAATGACAAAACACCTATGCATGATGTCATGATGTATGTACATGAAAATTCTCCCTCTTACTGAATATGCTTGCTGTCCAAACATTATTCTAATATACTCGCTGCCGTATCATATATGGAATTAAGTTGAAGACAACATTTACATTACAGACAAACTCTTACCACGCTATGTGTGTTATATTCAAAATGTAGTCTTTACTCATTTATTCATCCCTAATCTCACTAAAATGGTGTGCATTCAATGGCTGTATAGTGTTATTAATCTATTTGTAGATATACCCCCACTACCCAAACTGACCAATCATCAAAAATTTTCTAAAATGTCGTCTTTGTCTCTGGACCTATCAGATCTAATATCGTCAGATTCCTGTTTACATGAACGTGCTAGTTTGTTAGCTCGTACATGTTCTGAAATACGAAAATGACGTCAAACAATTACATAATATAATCGTCTCACGTATTCACATGGCCAAAAATAACCACAATCAGAAACTTGCAGACTCTTTACATCAGACAGCGCATCAAAGGGTGACTGGTGGAGATTCATTAACAGAACAGAACATACTCTTTATTTTCTCAGGTACATAAGTACAATATGAGGAAATCATACATGTCACCGACTGAAAAAGGAACGATTCCGGCATTGTCTCATCATGTCACTCAACGATTTACATATAACAACAAATTAAAATGTGACTTGTTGAACAACCATTTCTTCAATCAGTCCTTATAAAGAAGTTCCTGACGATTTCTACTAGTAGTTTTAGAACACTCTCACATCCATAAGTATTACAACTCAAAATGTTGAAGATGCTCTCAACACTTTTAATACCAATATAGCTTATGGGTCTGATGAAACGATCGACGTCAGTTATCTTATCTCTACTCTGTGCTCTTTTTAATCATTCACACCATTCTTGTAAGAATACTCAAACTTTGAAAGATGTCAAAAATTGCCCATTTCTTTAGAGATGTGATACATTGTTACTCAAAATCAATTGTCTCATATCTCTCCATTGCTGTGTATAGAAAACAATTTTAAAGCTTTATTTTCAATTATATTTTTAACTTTCTTCATGACCATAAATTTAAATCTCTTTCTCTAAATTTTGCTTCAAACGTGACGACTTAACTGTAAATCAACAATCATTTCTTTACAAATCTTTCGGTAAGGCTCTTGATAAAAGCCGTTAAATACGAATTGTCTTTTTCGACACCAGCAAGGCCTTCGATAATGTGTGGGTTAAGGACCACTTTCTCAAGTTAATAGCAGCCGGTATCCAGGGATACCTTTGTCCATCCTTTTGTAGGTGAAACCACACGTTATACTTTACAAAATTTGATCGATAATCAAAACATGCATACAAAAACCGGTACGTTACGATACCGAAATCAACTTGATTTCGGTAAAGTTACCGAAATCAACTTTTCATTACCGAAATCAACTTATTAAATCATAATTAAGCATTTCATTATAATATATTACAATAGGTTAAGTTTGACTTTCATGCAAAAAATCAGTTCGAAATAATTATCAATAATGAAATTAGAAACAAATAACTAAATATCAAGATTATTCCCTGATTTGTCACGAACCGAAATATATGTTACAATGCCGAAATCGACTTATAAAATCATAATTAAGCGTTCTATTATATTTTTTTCATTATAATCTATTACAATAGTTTTAGTTTGACTTTCATGCAAAAATCAGTTCGAAATAATTATTTATAATGAAATTAGAAACAAATAACTAAATATCAAGATTACTTCCCTGATTTGTCACGAACCTAACTACGGGTATATGTTACCATACCGAAATCGGCTTGTAAAAGTTAAAATAAACATTTAAATAGATCTTGTTTAATTAATTAATATAAAGTCATTCAAACTGAACCCTAAACAAAGGAAAATAATATTTAATTATAAAAAATGATGATGTTATAGACGGATATGTATATTATATCATGATTACTTCCCTTGTTATTAAAGTGTTGCATTACCGAAATCAAATCAGATTTCATTTCAAAGATGAGAACAACCCCTGAATAATTTGCATGAATTTCAGAAATAGTTGATTGGAAATTATCACAGTATTTAATTTAAATCCAATGATTATGATTTGATTAAAATAAAAAGGCGAAGCGGTAGCCATTCATCATAACACCTTTACTAATAAGGATCAAGCATACACGTGCTCGGACAATGGAGGTGTTGACATAACATACTCGTTCAACGCAACATTGGCGCATGGAAACTTTAAAGTAGACATAATTATTTTACATGAAATTAAAGCTGATTGTCTCCATTAAGACAAAAAGTACATTACAGTTTAATATAAAATGACGTATAGCAACCATCCCTATATAATATGTATCAAAAGACTTTTTATATAGTTTTATAGTATAAATATTTCAGATCTAGTAAGCTGGTAAAAATATAATTTTATATTAAATAAATTGTCAAAAGATCTGTTTTAACTAACATATAGGGGTGATCGCGATACGTTTCCGTAGAAAACATTTCGGTATATGAGACAAGATGCATTGATATTATTATTACTGAATTGCATATCAATTTGTTCCAAAAATGTATGCGATTTTTGATGTCCCGGATACTTAACTACATATTCTACTATTGAAAAAGTGTAAAGTCATGATTTTATGTTGATTGATTTAAAATCATTTTAAATTTCATATCTGTAAACATCATAAATTTATGGAATGACTGGTATATATTTATATGATGGAAATAATGGAACACTTTATACTGACAAATTTCAATTATGAAATGTTGTAACTTGTACAATTTGACATGTTTTGTATTACTGTATTAAGTAAGGTGTGAAGTAATTAAGACAGGAGGTACAGCTGGCATACAATGTATGTTAAAGATAAAAGATTATTATGAACCATCTGTTTATGTTGTAATAAACATTTCAATAAATGACTAAAATTTAAACATATTAATAGAAAATCATAAACTTCTGATTGAAGATGGATATTAACATAAACATGTACAAAATTTATAAATATCTTTAACTCACCTGATTCTATTTGCAATCTATGAGATGATACTCTTAACCTAGTGAGATCTTTACAAAACCGTTCAACATTGATAATATTTAGATATGGTTTAAACTTAAAAACAGAAATATATCTATAAAATAGAGCTCTACTAGAGTTATCTAATCTATTATCTACTAATTATATACATAATTTAAACTTCACAGCTGATTTCGGTAATGCTAAACACATATAACGGGTTGTTTAGAACAAAGGGAAGTAACTCAATAATTACATTTTTGTTAATAACATCATTAAAATAAAATATTTTTAAAAGATTTTTTAACTGAAAGTCTATTTCATTATTTTTCATCAAATAATGAAGAAATAATAGCAATATTTTAACTAGTTTGGTTTTTACGAGTTAATTTCGGTAATGAAAAGTTGATTTCGGTAACTTTACCGAAATCAAGTTGATTTCGGTAGCGTAACTTACCCTACAAAAACAGGATTTTCTTCCTTCTGTTTTCAAAGAATGGAACAATCTAAAAATTCGCCTTTTGAAAGAAATAATAAATATAGTCCAAACTTTTTTTTAAATTAGGATAAGAAAATGGCAAATATACCAAGCACGTCTACGAACTGAATGCGGCTCTCTTAAACACCATCTGTTCTGTACTGAAAAATATATTTCGCCAATGGGGACTTCCAGAAGCTTACAATCATTTCTTTGTATGATCATAAAAAGCCTCTAACAAACTCTTACAGCTTACTGTAATGTAATTATCCACATATTAATTAATAACGACACAAACTTAAGTAAAGACATTAAAGTCATCATATTTCAGGCAGTTTAAATGCATATTTGAGATTGTAAACGATTAAGTATGTTTCACTCTACTACTACCCCGGTTTACTTGCTGTATAGATCATCCTCTTTTCTACTATAATTAATCATTAAGTTGTTATTTTTTCTATCTTAAATTATGAAAGGCTTACACTTGAAACATTTATTAACACGACAATTTTGCATTAACTCTATTAAGCCTCTACTTCTATCAGACATAAAATTTTGCTCTATTCACTTTTCGTTTTATGGGTCTTTTATTTGACTAATTGACGGCTCTTTATCTTTCTTCAGTCTACTAGGATAAATTGTTTATATCCTTTCTACTTATTCAATATTTAAAATATTTTCAAAAACCTGTCGAATTTATAGTAAGAAATCCTATGTTAGGAAAATTACTTTTTAAGCAGTTTATGGTTTCAAATACGACCAGTTTTTAGCCTTGTATTGAACGAAGGTGAATAATTAGACTAGTACTGAATTATTACTTTTGTCACAAAATATTTGAAAATGACACATACAAAGCCGGCAAAAGAATAATTATTTAATGAGCTTTATTATTCTTCAAACATCAACTAACAACGTTCAACAGTTGTTCTAAATCATTTGATAGAAACAACAAAATATGAAAACAAATACTAAAAGGATGGGTCGCTTTAAAGGGATATTTAGGCAAAATAATGAGAAAAATATTAAAATGATCTTATGCACTCAAATCACGCTAAAATGACATTTCTTGAAGTTTCAGCATGAATTTCTGTTTAAATTCTAAATATTTTGGTGTCAATTAATTTCAGAGTGTAAATTTGTAAAGCATGTAGTGATGCTAAATTTTGTTCGTAATGATATCATATCATATCTTCTTTATGATACACTTCATGGTAGTACTTTTCAAGTTTGTTCAATAAAGCTGTTTAATAGTCAATATAGAATATCACAGAATAATATCAACTGCATACCAAACGAGGAATCACCAAAATTATAATGAGCGGTCATAAAGTCGCAGTACCTTGATTACTATGTTGAATATCTGTTTCAGTATTTTATTCAAATATGAATATAGTAATTTAATTAATTACAGATTTTACTTTACAGGCAAATTATGCCTACAAAAGTTTCTGGAGTATCATTTGCCTTTAATCAGTGCAATTATGGAGATATATGAGTTACGTTTCACATCATTCAATCACAAATTTTGACAGTGTAATGAATTTCTGATATTTTTTTTTCTATGATCATGTGATGTTTATTTTACCAGAAAGTAAATCCTTGTATATGTTCAAAATAAAACGCTGGTACTTCATTTCACTTTTTGTCATATTTTCTGAGTTTTATTTGAACCATAGTGATCCTAATATTTTATGTGTTTAATTGAATACTGATTATGAAAGTATTAGAGGGCTTGAGAAAGTTGCTCTTTTCAGTAAATAAAACTACTAAATAAAACTAATTTTCATTATTTTAATCCTTTTATTCGTTTAGTATTTTGGTTATATTATTATTACAATATAACCACCGGTTATACGCAAACGACTATTCTGAAATAGCGAAAAGGCGACGACAATTTTATCGAAACCTATTGGCCTGAATGGAAGTTTATCAGTGTCTCACTTTTAATTGGTCCTTTCCCTCATTTTACAGTCGCAAACTTGTTTTAACTATAAAGTACAATTACATAAGAATCCAACGTGATTCAATTTAGTAATCATATAAGGAAGACTTTTATTCATTTTCATCGAAAATGAAACTCAATCTTCCTTGTTAAAGGCTATTTTATTTCGGAGCACGGCCGTGATTTTTCGATAAGCTGTGTGTATGTCTTAAGTACCTTTAACAATTAAAAATATGCAGTGAACTTAATATTTAATCAGTATAATAAATGGTCACTATAAATATCACCTGTACCACAATAAAACACATAAATTATGTGGTTGTTAATAAATTATTTATTACATTCGTTTCATATCTAAGTGTTGAATTCTACTTAAACGGTGTTAGGGTACGTTTGAGAAAAAAACACTTTAAACTCATACCATGTTGTGCAATCATTAAATTACAATGGCATTAAATATATGTATATGATTTCTTTTCATGCCGCCTTAGGTTCAAATCATATTTTCTATTATAAACAGCTGGTTTAAGGAATATAAATGGACTGTATAACGTACTTCAACCATAAATTCATAAATCTATCATAAGATTATACATGTATATATTTCACCTGACTTAAACTACTCCAAACCACACCACATAATTACATTTTTTATTTTAGGACAGATAACGCAAAACGAAGTCGATGACACGCAATTTGTTTTCGCTTATTTCATTTTTTCTGTCATAATTTTCGTAGATTCGTAGATTTCCCTCGAAGACATGTTTCATTCTGCTATAATATACTTACATACAACCTTAAGACATCAAATATTGCCACAAAAAGAAATTAATATGTTGGCCATTTGTACTGAACAGAGAAACTACATATTCATTTGGCATGAATAATGTCGATAAGATTTATTTGATGGTTACCCAAAAATAAATTCTTTCTTTGGTGAGAAATGCACAAATAATAAGTATTATAACTGTAGATAAACAATTATAAATAATGACAAAAAACTCAGTTAAAATGAATATTTAAGTTTACTATACATTGTATATATATTTATGTAAAATATGAATAATATGAATTTACTCCGTTTAGTATTCCGCCGTATTTTTTCTTCTTTCTTTCTTTCTATTTTTTTCTTCCCTGTTTATAATTAAGGCATGATAAAATTAACAATGATTCAGTACTTGATAGAACACAATACTTTTTTTAAACCTGATTATTGACAATGTTTTAATGTGTCTCAAATTACCTTTATCACTATAGGGAAATTATTAGGGCTCATTGCTGAAACCATTTTTCGTTTTTATTATGAAAGGTTTTTTATAACTTCGTTTCAATATTGAGACCACTTGAGTTATAGTTTGGAGCTGTATAAGAAATAAGCTTGCGTGACAATTAATCTCAAACATCGTTTGTGTAAAAAATATATTTTCCCTATGTGCAGAATAGAGTTCATGAAAATTAACTGATGTGTTAAAATGTCAAATTCTGACATGGGATTTTTTAAATATCTTAGCATAGTTGCTTTCCTTACAGCAACTGAAGGTACGTCCTCTTATTTTGTTTCTGTTGTTGTTATTTTATCAGCAAATTTTTTATCGAAAACAAACATAATTATCTTTTTAACCATATCAATTTTCTGTGTACCAAGTAAAAATTGGTCCCCCAACTTTTTTATAGCTAAGTTTGTATAACGAAAGAAATAACATTGATGAGCGATTTAAACAAAATGTTATGATATGTGATATATACGTGTATATTGAACTAGCAAATATATTGTGCTGGTTTACAAAGGTAAATTTATAATAGCATTTCCTCTTTTCCTTCCGGCCATTCCGGATTTGTGCTCATGTGGCTGCCTTGTGAGACAGAACATTGTTGGGTCTGCTTTCCATGAGCTTTGCTCTTTGTTGATGACCTTTAACCTTATACTATTTTACTGTTTGTAGCTAGACCGGAAATAATTGTGAAAACAAGCGGTCAGATTATAACAAGTCATTCAATTTGTGTGACGAACGACATTTTAGATGTTTAATAAACTAGTTTGTTTTGAATAAAATGAAAGTAATATTTTAATGAGTAATGTAATTCTCCGGTTCTTGTGGTTTAGCGCATTTCTATAATGAATTTTAAGACTATGGAAAAGCTACAACCTATGTCATTTCTTTCCATTTTTAGTACAAGTTTTTGGTTTAAATTTCACGATTTCCAAAGATCAAGTTATAATAGGTAGCACAGGAACATTAACTATGTCATGTGAAATCACAGAATTAGATGTTGAAACTATCTACCTGATTCAGATACGAAGGATCAAGTCAAAAATGCTTTCAGGGACAGATTCCCCTGATTGGGAAACGTTAGCATTCATGGAATTAGTTTCAAATGAAAGTCCTACGTTAAGTGCAAATATCACGGCAAGTACTAAAGATTATTTCGCCGATGGAGCTTGGAATTCTGTAACACCTACTTCAACATACCTTACACTGTCTATGAATATTTCAAAACTTGAATGTCACGATGCCAGAGAATATTTATGTGAATTAGCCTACAAAAGCAATATCACTTCAGCTGTCAAGAAATTTGAAATGAATGAAACTTTCTCAGCCTATGGTAATTTTTCCTTTGACTATTACTCATAGCCATTCTAGAACGAATACAAAAAATCATATTAAATATTTGAAATGACTTTAAATAGATAGTTATCTTACATTCAATCTTAAGAAATTACTCTATAATCAAACATTCTAAAACTTAATTTCAGTATCACATTTTGTTCTTTTCATCTACAATTATGTTTTAATTATTTAACATTTAAGCATCTCCATACATATATATTTTACTAACTGGTCAATATCATTAACGTATGTTCTTTTTTACTTTGACAGTAAATCCACGTGTACCGTTAATTGCAAGAAGGAATGGTTTAATTGTTCAAGGAGCTTCCAACCTATCAGACGCTGTGTCTGTTACACTGTAGGAGATGAATTGGAACTCAATTGTACAGCTAATATTGGAAGCTTGCCAGAAACATTAATTCGTTGTAATATATCATCTGGAACCTCATCAGCTGGTGAATTTGATGAGTATCGACCAACAGCCGGTAAATTTGATGACGGAACGGCAATCAGTGATAATCAGTGCGGATATACCAGAACTGGGTCTTTACAGTACAAAATAACATCATCTGATGTTCTAAGAGCTTTCTACTTGGTATTTGAGTGTTATGTTAGAGTCAATAAAGATCCTTATGGATCCTTTGTTACACAAACTAATCCAAGATTCTATTTTGACGTCAGTAAGTTGTTTTGAAGTATATTGAAATATTCAAATTTAAAATTGTTTATAAACATACCTTTATATGAAGAATAAGTCCAAAATTCATTTTTTATTTCTTTTCAAATAAATATGCTTCATGGATGGAAATCAATTTATTAATACTATTTAAAGACAAATAAATTCTGAAAAAATTCAAGTAATGAATATCTAAATTCTTTAGAGTAGTTTCAAAACAAATGAAAACAAACAAAATTAAATCGTATAAATGCTATTATGTATGTATCTGTTATTATGCATTTATTTTAGAAGAAGAAACAACAACTACAATACAATCTACAGTATCAACGTCAATTGAGACACAACTAATTACAACAGGTATATTTTCATGATAAATTCTATTAGTATGATTATTTCAGTCGAATCATTTTAACTAATGGCAATAAAACATTAATTTAATTTAATATATCAAAAATATAAAATATTTTTGTCATAAACTTTATTTAAGTACGTGACCGTACAAACGTATTCCACATATACATGTATATAAATGCACGTGCGTACAAATCCTATATTTATCATATGCAAAGTTTGCGGTGCAGTCAAAATCTCGTGAACCGTGATTCAAACCGTATAAGACGCCTTGAAAATTTTATTATCTAAATAAAAATATACTTGAATAAATATCTTATTTAACTTGCCATTTGGTACGTCCTAAATGTAGATACCTGAAGCACTTACCTATAGATATAAACTGGTAATAAAAAGTGGTAATATTGTCGTCATGACTGATAAGCGCTATTTCTCTTCGTTCAAACACTAAATCTTTCAAGTCCTTATTGATGATTTGTTAGCATATTTTATTCGAAACCTTTGAATACATCATTAGATTATTAGAAATGCATTTGGTAGACACCCATTCTTGTCAGGGTGTTGTTTTTAATAGCCTTGCGCGTCTGTTAGAACGAACAGTGTTGTTTTAGAATAAACATATATATATATATATATATATATATATATATATATATATATATATATATATATATATATATATATATTTAACATTATTTAATTACTTGTTTATGCTCCAATAGAAATGTAATTAAATGCAAGTTTTACAAGCATCTTAACAGTGTTAACAAATTCATCAACAACGACGCCAACAACTCAGTCATATGACGTTACAACATGAACACAGAATCCCATTGCTGCGCCACACATTTTAAACGTGTTATTTTTTATTTCAGTTTATTTCAACCATTTTCAAACCCGTCTTATTTCTAGTAATTAATTCTATGTTAGGAAAAGGCCTATATAAGCATTTTATGCTTTCGGATCTGATCCTTTTCAGCATTGTATTTTGTTATTCAATATTGTATGATAATTTTGTTTGTACAAAATGTTCGAAATAAAATATTTTTAAACCAAATGTGTTATTTTGTTGTGAAGTGACTTGACACTAACCATTAAATTACAAACAAGTCAATTAGATATAGAATGATTATTTACTTCAAATATTACTCACTCATTGCAAAACTGTTCATTTTCAAAATCAGTTACTATACTTACAGTCCAGACCCTTAATGCGGAACTTAAGGAAAATGAGAAAAACATGCCACTCGGAATAATTGTAGGGACATCAACTGGCATTTTGACTGTAGGAATTGTTGTAACTCTTGTTCTACGCAGAAAGGTCATCTTAAAAGGTAGTTAATTTAAGCTATGTAATAACCATAATTATTGTACAACATATCTTTCAAAATTATAGAAAGTATATGTTATTTTCATCATGTATGCTTTATTTTCTTAGATTCATGAAAGCTATAAATAAAACTAGTTACATATAATGACGCCATCAAAACAAGCATGGTAAATAGATGAAAACAATAATACACTTGTTTTCTGCACAATAATGATATTTTACGGTCCCCCTTTGACCTGCTTCAAGATATTTAATTCATGTTTATATATGACTGTACCATTTTGCAGAATGTATTCATTGAAGTGTATACGTATATCAAACATAAGGTATTTTAATATCTTTAATAATTAGATATATGATGATAGTTAAGTTTTCAGTTTCGTGTCGTTTTAAGGGCCCATTGTGCCTCAGAAGTGCTATCAATTTTATTTCTCAAATATTTCATGTTTTATCGTTGGTATCTTTTTACAGTTTCTAAACACATTTGCCATATAGAAATGAGGTACCTTTTACATCATTTTCTAAGTGAAAATTTGTAAAGTGATGGTAAATTAGTATTTTGAATGGAAGTCAAAACACTGTATTGTTTACAATTTACTACCTTTAGGATACATTATTGCACATTTTGCGCTACTTTCTTCAGTTGATAAACATCAAACACGCTCTAGATATATTAATATTTTTTAAAGACGTGTTTCACCATTTCTAAAGAATTAAAAAATGGATTTCTGAGGCATAATGTGCCTTAAAGTTTAATGAATATTCTTAATATAATCCTAGATTTAGGACGTAACATATTCTACAATTCAAAATAAAATGATTTGAATTAATGACGCGAAACTGCAGAGAAGTTATTCTGCAAATCAGGTCTACTATATTCAATTTGTTAATATATAAATATTCTCTTTTTTGTATTAAGGAAGATCACAGGCTGTTCCAGAATCAGGTTTTCAACAATCTTTACCGTGAGCAATTCAAATTATGCGATCTTTCATTTTTGTATTTATTGTTTTTGTGCTCCTTTTATAATTTAATTTATTTACTTAACAAAGTTTATTTTTGAATTTCTGATTAAGTCATTTACATATACATATAATAATGGATCAAAAATTGCATGAATAAAGTAAGAAAGCTTCAGAGACCTTTTTGAAAGAAGCTCTATCCGTACTTGCGTATGTTATTTCTTTTGATATAAAAATGGAACATTCTGACAGCAAATTAAGCTTGAAAGCAATTTAACATTCTGTATGCATAATGTCGAATTACATGTACTAACGATTTAATCTTAACACGCACACTATGAAATAAAAGGTAGCTATTCACCAAGTTTCAAGTGATTAATGCATGAATGAATTAGACTGAATCAGTTTTCATAAGTTCCCCATATAATTAGGTCGATATTTGTGAAAATTAAATATCTTGTAATGGTCTTACTTTCAGAATATCGAATTACGAAGGTCTTCAACTAGGCACATTTGAAACATCGACTTATGACTCAATAAAACATACATTGTGAAGATTTAAGAGTCAAAGTAATTGCTATGGAGAGCAAGAAAAATATACTCTATGTTAAGTGTATAATTTGTTGTAGAACGCTCAACGGAAATGAGCTCAAGTGTACTCTTACGTGATTTTATGTGTGAATTTTGAATTATTAGTATAAATATAAGTTTATATAGTTTGATAATTTTCAAATGCTGCAGATAAAAACTTTATAAAAAGAATGGTTAACATTTTTACAAATAGCTAATGTGTAGCCAAAATGTAATAAAAGTCAATAAAATACTGACTTGACTGAATTGTCAGTGAAAACAGAGAAAGTAAGAGTACTTATCTTTAAAAATTGATAAGCTTTATACTTTAACTCTGTGAAGACAATGTGGAGTAGCTATTTATATGGACAATATCTGGTCTGTTTTTATCTTAATTTCTCTCTTTCGATCTTAAAGTTTCATTTTTCAAATCAAGAAAATAAAATTATGTGAAAGGAGGGTATATCAGTTTGGGGACCATAAGTTTAAACATATTTTATTTCGGACATTTGCACATACAAGATTTACATACAATAATAAAATAATACAATGCTGAAATAGGATCAGATCCGAAAGCATAAAATGCTTATAAAGGACTTTTCCTGAAATCGGAATAATTACCATAAATTTGTCGGGTTTTGAAAATGTTTGAAACATTAAATTTTAGGTAGAAATACTAGTAGATTTAAAAACAAAATGAAGAAGATTCGTCACTATGTCAAATAAGCGACCTACAAATATAAACGGGCATTGAGTAGAAGTTTTTATCTAAAAGATATAGGAATAGGGACTTAATAGATTAGAAGAAATAGTTTTCGTGTTTATAAATGTATAAATTTTCAGAATTTCTTAATTTGAGATACACAAAGAAACTTTATTTTATAAGAAAAGGAAAAGAAGAGAATCTATTCAGGGAGTAAATTGGAGGAGTAATGTAGCGAAGACTATGAAAATCGTTTCCTGTATCGGCTAAAGAGGTTCCCATTAGACCTCTCGTTGCAGCTCATGATAAGACAAAAGTTTAGTAGTACCAGATACAACTATAGAAGCTTCATGTTTGAAAGCATCTTCAACATCTTGAGTTGTATTACTTATTGAAGTGAGTGTTCATAGGCTTTTCGAAGTAATCGTCAGGAACTTCTTTATCATAGTTGTCTTTCTAGAGAAGACTGGTTGCCGAAATAGTTGTTCAATAAGTCGGATTTTGATTTGTTATCATATGAAAATCTTTCAGTAACTGGGTGAGAGAGTGCTTGAATTGTTTGCTTTTCAGTCGGTGATATGAATGATTTAATGAGTTTCCACCAGTCTCTGTGATGTGTTGTCTGATGCAAGAGAGTCTGCAAGTTTCTGGATGTGATTACGTTTGGCCGTGTGAATAAGTGAGATGATTTAATTACGTATTTTTGAATGAGTGCCAGTGCAACGGATTTTGGGTTTGTTTGGCTGTGTAATAAAATTGTTTCGTTTACGAATAAGCTGTTTGATTTGTGTCGTTATCCATACTGCTTTAGTCGGTTTTACTATTTTTGTTCTTATAGGTATGTACTCCTTTGACAGTTCGAGAATTTTGTTGCGTGTTTATCTATATCGGTGTTTATATATTGATCCCAGTCAGGTCCTGATTTAGGTCTAGGAAAGGAAAAAAGAGCACAAACAGGGCAGTGGCAGCGAATATGTTAGTCTAAAACTGATTCCCCAACATCTGATGTTAAAACTCGGTGACTGCAAGAAACAAGAAAAAGATTTAAACCAGATGCTGACGACTCGATAAAATGTGTAGGATCGTTTATTAGTTGTTCAAGGTGAAATTGTTTACAAATTGAAAGAAGTTTGCGTGATAATGTCGGATTAGATGGATTAAAGTTAAAGTCACCAGTTACAATTATATACATGTATGTTATATTTGTTTCATTTGCGAAGTTAAGAGAGTGTTCGATAATAGTTGTATAATGTGCATCTGCATTAGAGGTGGAAAAAAGTACCTAACAAAAAACGTTAAGATTGAGATAATAAAAGCTCCACCCATACACATTCTATATTTCTAGTCTCGAGATCCCAACGCCGTTTGCAAAATAGTGAATTCTTAATGTATACAGAAACTCGACCATAACTGTCATCAATCCTGTCATTTCTTTCTGGAGAATGAAAAACTTGGTATAGATATATCAGAATTGGAACCACACATTAGGATTAAGCAACGTTTGTGAAAACACAAGAACATCAAACATACTAAATTCACTGGTTAGAATTTTTATTTTGCCAAGTCTGCTTTGGACATGATATTGTAGTACAGATGAACAGGAACTTGGCGACATTAGACTTACGAGATCCAAAGACATAGACGACGTAGTGGACAATGATGGACCAGGATTCGAGTAAAAATTTCTTGATTAAGTAAGAAGAATGTGCAGCCATTGAATGCACACCATTTTGGTGAGAATAGCAATGACTATATGAGTAAGAAATATGTTTTGCATGAAGCACTCATAACATGGATGGATTCGTCTATATGGATATTTAATGTTGTTTAAACTTCATTCCTTTGTGAAGGGACAGCGAGAATGTTTGAATAATATCTGTAGCAATGTGTAGAAGATCCAGCATGTTCAGTAATAGGGAAAATGTCCATGTACATGAGTAAGAGTGCTTGATAGTGGTGCCTGGAAATTTATTCATTGTGATTGACGTTATAAACAACAAAAAGCGCGCTGTCACAATCATGCCAAAGATGTTAATAATTAGAATCCAATGCATTCCATTAACAATATCCCGAATATATTTCCTAGGAGAAAAGGTGAAGTGAACATAAAGGGAGAACAGGTTTTAGAAGAACACATAAAGTAAAGAAAACATAACTTAATAAATGACAATTTAAAGATCAATTGTTTTCGAAACACAAGCCTTTAAAATTGTCATAATTCGGAATTAATTAGGTTACATATATGTTACCATGTTGTTACATAGTTGTTACAGCATTGTTACAAGTGTTTTATTTTGGAGTAAAATAAAATTTCCACACATAATAGTTACAAATTTGTTACAAGCCTTTTAAATGATCAGAAATCGGAATAAATACATATGTGTTACACGGTAGTTGCATAGTTGTTACATCATTGTTACAAATGTTACGAGCGTTGAGAATAAAATTAAAATTTCACACATAATTGCCACAAATGTTACGGGTTGTTCCAAGTGTTACAGCACATGCATTTAAAATGATCAAAAATCGGAATTAATAAGGTTACATAGATGTTACAATGTACAATTGTAACAGATGTTACGGGTTGTGTTAAGCGTTACAGCGAAAGCCTTTAAATGGTCAGAAATCGAAATTAATAAGGTTACAAAGATGGAACAGTGTTTTTATATAGTTGTTACAGCATTGTTACAAGCGTTACGAGAGTTTGGTGTGAAATGAAATTTCCACACATATTTTTTACAAATGTTACGGGTTGTTACAAGTGTTACAGCACAAGCCTTTAAAATGGTCAGAAATCAGAATGAATAAAATGACATAGATGTTA